TAACACTCGTATAAATTAGACAGCTATAAAAAAATAAAAAATAAAAATTCCTGGCTCACAAAACAAACATATCTCAGTCCTTAGTTCAGTTGCGTTTGTAAGTGTTCTAGTAAAGTATCTGTTGGGGAACGAAAACGGGAGTGTTTTGTCGGTCTTGTGAGGCAAAGGGGATCCAGTATGGTCCAGTTGTGGGGGGTTATTTATTATTCTTGCATGTTTGTTATTTTCCAGTCGTTTTTCTCAAACAGTTTAATATAAAGGGAATAGTGACAGACAAAAGAGATTAAGTTCTTAAAGAATGTATTTTAAGTTATGAAAGGGATCTTTTCCCTTTCATAACATAAAACCCTAACTAAAAATAACTTTTGATAAATGTCCAATGGAGTTCTGTTTTCATGATGGATGCATAAAGTTCAAAAATATTTTCCTTAGTCTGCTAATGACGCTTATTGGAAGTTGTAAGAAATGAAAAAGGGTAAAGCTTATTTGTAAATATTTTCTCTATAAATAAGCTTTTAGCTCATCCAAACTAACCCATATATATAGTTAAAACTACGTTTTCACTTTTTCTTTAAAAAGGTGCATTTCGAATATAATAGAAAATATATATGGGATAAAATACATGTGTGCTTGTTATTACAATTGCCAGACATTACTAAAGATGTAACCATTTTGTTTTTGGTTCCGAATCATGGAAGGAGTAAAATGTTTCCCCTTATTCCAAATAGTCATAGGTGGTTGTTGTAAAAATTTCGTGTCAAAGTGATATAAACCTTGAAAATGGTAAAGGCGTCTATTAGACAATAAAATTTACTAACTCCACATTGTTTCAGACAGCAATTTGTGATTATCGTAAGGCAAAAATGAAACCGAATCTATTAAACTTATCAAAAAAATTGAGTTTTAGTTATTTAAATTTTAATCATGGCAGGATTTTTTTTTGAATAGTCGAATTTATTTATTTTTTGTTCTGAAGATCCTTAGCGGCTATTGCAATTTCTGGAAAAATGAGATGCAAAATGTAATAAAATTGATGGAAAATTTAAGTTTAAGTGCTGCAAACCTTGAAAATTGATGCAATTTCACTTAGTTATTCGTTCGTGTTTTTTTAATTCTATTTTTCCATAGACTGTCGGAAACTGTGGTTTCCGCACAGAATAAAGGTCTATTCACGTGAAAATGTGTGTCTTAAAAATATAAGTATTACAGTAGTACTTTAAGCTTTGAAAATAATAATGATTTGTGAAATGAAAATAGCAGTGAAGTCACTAACATTTTTTGTAGCTTTAACGGAATTTAGTAAATCTACAATTTTCTAAACAGTAATTAATATCGTAGTTCTTGGGAAGAATATAGTGGTCAAATCTAGGCAAAGTTTTTCAAAAATAAAGTTTTACAGGGATGTAAGCGTTGAAAATGGTGGCAACTTTTCTTAAGGCCTCGCATTTTCCAATTGGAATAATTCCAAATAGCTGATAACGGCGTTTGCACTTTTCTGCAAAAACAGTAGCAAAATATAGTGAAATTTCTGCAAAAATCAGTTCCAGAGTCCCATAAATCTTGAAAATGGGAGCAATTTACCTTATATACTCGTAGCAAAATATACAAATTCTGCTTTGCTCTAGCAATCAGCGTTATTGTAGTTTCCGGCAAAAAACCAAAGGAATAATGTTTGAAAATAAAAAGGACGAACTCATTTTCCCTTAAAAATTAAATTTTTAAAATCCTAAACGTTGTCCATTTGCTTCCATGCGTTGTCCATGGTTCGTTGAAATAAATTGTTTAAACCTATTTGCCTGATACTTGGTTTTCTATATTCATGTAGCCTGTATGTGTTTTTCTACACATCCACACATTCTTTTCTTCCAATTCAAAATAAGATCAAATGAAAATGAATGTCTGTTTTACCTGATCGAATTTGTCCAAACCTAAAAATTATATTATTGATTATTTGTAAATCGCACGTATTTACGTTTACTATACGATAAATATTTTGAAGCATTATCCACTCTAATCACAGCACGAATTTCTCAATGAAAACCTAGACACCAATAAATTTAAAAAATGCCAAATCATTAAAAAAAATATGTTAAATCATATAGATCCAACAACTATGTTAATTAAGGCAACCTTCAAATGACAGGTTGGTTGAAGCTATTTCTCGCAGATTTCTTGCAGACTATAAAAGGTCCAGCGTCTTACCCAGCAAAGTCAGTGTTGATTCACGATTAACCCAAGCGAATTATTAAATAATCAAAATGAAAATTACGTGGCTTGTTGCCTTTGCTTGTGCCATCTACATGGCCAATGCTGCCTCAGTGTACATACCTGAACATGTTCGTGAAAAACGAAGCCCCGTTATAGGAGCTGCCGCATTAGGATTTGGAGGAGCTGGACTTTTAGGAGCAGGAGCTTTAGGAGCTGGACTTCTCGGGGCTGGAGCTTTAGGAGCTGGAGCTCTTGGAGCTGGTGCCCTGGGAGTTGGTGTCGCTAAGGGGGCTGTTCTTGGAGGAGTTATTGGACGAAGCCAGTAAGTTTTTAAATTTCGAAATTAATTAATTTGACAAAATTGTTTAATAGAAAAATTGTGCTAATCTAGTTTTTCCGGTTCTGAGTGCTGTTAAGAAATTGCGCGAATTGACTGGACTATCGATTAAAATTTTCATTGTCAAGTTCAATACTCTCATTCATTTCACAATATCGGATTCGTTAATTTGATCTGTAAACTGTAATTTAGTGGAACACATTTATATCAGGCAATCTAATGTAATGAATTGTTACAGTGGAGGCTACGGTGGTGGATATGGATATAGCAGTCCAAGTGTGCAAGTAGTTCATGTTAATGACCATTACGGGGGTGGTTATGGAGGCGGTTATGGAGGCGGTTATGGAGGCGGTTATGGAGGCGGTTATGGAGGTGGTTACGGCGGATATGGTGGTGGTTTCGGATATGGTGGAGGATACTATTCCAGCTGGTAAAAAGTATGTATTTTCAAAACTTACCTTCTTACAGTGTAAAGCATAGTTGATTAAGTTTCAGCACGACATCAGAAGCCTACATCCAGCCAGTACACCTATATTCCCGTTAAATAGTATTAATAAATTATTGTTAACTTGATAAAGCTTTCCATTTTTTATCCTTCCTCAAACGGGTATTCAGTGGAGGTGAATAAAAGTCATTGCCTTTGTTCTAGAATTTTATTATGTATTATTAGTCAAAATTTCACAATTCTTAAAGAAACAGCTACAAATATCAAAGTCTCTTAATAAAAAGTTATTCTATTATTTCCTATAAGAAAGATATTTACAAACATAAAAGCGATTTTGTGAAGTATTTCCTAGAATTTCATCGACAGTGAACGTAAAAATACCCGAAACATTTTACTTTACATTTGGTGTCTAGTAAAACGGTGAACGATTTTGCCACCCTGTATTAGGTCAGTGACGTACTTCGCTAGTAACACATCAATCAAATACTGCTTGGTGATATCAGTAGAGAATTATATTACTATTTATACGTAGGTCTAGTTACTAAATTTTGAATCAAATGTGTCACATAAACGGTATGCATATAAGGTAAGTTCAATTTAACGTGTTATAGATAAGGCTGTCATCTTTTGGGTTTTGTGCTACTGTGAGCATATCAGATAATATATATTAATATATTATTCAAACTGTTGCGGTTATCGGCCCTGTAGGCTCGTCGTGGAAAAAATTGTTTCTCATATCCAGCAACCATCGATGGCTGCGAAACGTCAGAATAAAAATATTTTCCACGATTACCTCGAAAAACGTTCCAGTCAGAGAATATGTTAAGACAATCATTATTCTTCTGTGCAATTTATCCACGAGTTATTCAAGATTTGTTTAAAAGTACTGCACTTGAAACTAGGCTGTCTGAATAGCAAAGAAGAAAAGCAAGAACGCAAAGAAGAAACTTAATACGTATATATTTGAGATAAAACAATCATGCTACTTTAAGTCCTATGCATATGAAAATATATTTTTGATAGCAGCAAAGACATAATTTTTTGTTCGTCCTAGGAATGCACTATTTTTTGTAATTCGAAATAAAACAGTTACAGGAAAAAATATTTTTTTAGCTTTGCATTACTATATTTTCATCCACAGTGCAGTAGGGAATAATGAAGATTTCCGCTTATTATTCCCCTAGGATTAATACGAGTGATTACTCTTAACTCGACACGTTCCTAATCAGTCTAATACTGAATAGTCGTGGATAAACAGTTTAAAGTGAACAACATTTTTCACACGTTTGACTTAATTCGCTGACATTTAAAATAAAATTGTAAATCTACTGCCTAATGTGTTTTAAATGGTACAAAATCATAGACGAAAATACGGATAACTGTTAAAGGAAAAAAAAATAGTAGCTGTTCGAAATTAAACCTGCACTATCCGGAAGGTTGAACTGAGAAACAGTAGACTTTCGCTCTAATGGTGACTGCATAATTAGAAAATCAACGCGTTTACAAAAATCTGAAAAAAATACGTTTTACATGCGAAAAGTTGCTTAGTATTTGGCGGCTTTGTAGAATTTTTTTTTTGAAAAATTGTCAGGTCAGGAAAGGTTTAAATTAGTAGAGTACAGTGAATAAAGTGTGCAGTGTTAAAATTAGGCAAGTAGGTGTTGAATGTTAACATGTTTCAGCTCTCCATAAGATTACGTCTAGGGTGAATGGGTTAAAAAATAGAATAAAAATGAGCTTAAAGAAACTGCAAATTTTTTTAATTTTCTTTGATGTGACATTGTATTAAGCCTTCCTTATGAAGAAATACATTATGATTTTGTTAACCTGATAATATGCAGCTTATTCCATTCGAAAATATATTTTCTAGAAAAGCTTTATGAGGTTAATCTTTTGTGTGTACACATGAGAAAAATCGTATCCGCAAAAATTGCAATATTTAATCATTATTTCATATTTCAATCAATGTGGTATATTCACTAATAAATAAGTTATTTATTAATGCTGATAATTACTCTATTTGGTTTCAGTTATGAGAAAAATTCCAGTAAGTTAACTGAATTAATAGTTTTAACATTTAAAAAAATTATCTGGAAATAGAGGACGTTTTTTATTTACAAAATATTTACATATTTCACATGACGCTTTTTCCTTGTAGCATGTGAAATTAACTATTTGCAAACGGATGGCCAAGTAAATAATAAGAAAATAAAATAAAAAAATTACCTACACAATATCCTTGATATATGGTGCAACTAATTATTGCCCTAATCGAAACACGTCGTTTTGGAGCTTAGATTGATGATTTCTCCAAGAGGAGAATTAAGTAAGGGCTTCCAGTATGTATAGGCTCAAAATTGAAGTTCGGAATTTTCAAATAACTTTTGATCCGACTGTTGCGAAAATTGAATTTTTTGTGGGAGTTTTATTTTCTTAATAAATTCCGTAGACTTTCACTGCGAATTTAAGTAGAAATTCGTCAATAAAATAAAAACAAACAAAATTTCTCAATGATACGAATCAACGCCACGTTTTTGTACAATAATATACACCGTTCCCAAAAATATATGGAAATATTTTTGCTGCAGATTCCCTAAAATAATTTAACATTTCCTGTTGTAGTAATTAAAAGATAAAACCGCTTAAAAAATGTATAGTCTCAACAATTATTTTGATTTTTTTCTTTTGCCCCTGGAAGATGACAGCCTAAGTTGTGCGTTAAGAAATGTTTATGCGTTTTTGTATTTGAGCATTATAAAATTCATCGGTTAGCTTATATGCATCGTGCTTCATTATTTCGATCAAATTAATTGAAAATTCCAACAAGTTTATTACGTACAGATGATTTATTCTAAATACCCTAAACCGTTCTTCGAGATAATACATTTTAACAATCGCCTTACTTTCTGCTACACTGTATAAAAATTCACTATTATCCTCTAATTTATGATTTTTAAGCGTTCTTTAAAGTTTTTAAACTTAAAAATAAAGATTTAAATAAAAACATTCATCATTAACAAGACACAATCGAATAAGTACAGAAAGAGAAGCACTTATAATAAGTCAATTAACATTATTTCGACGCGTTACTCACTGGCTGTATTTGGTAAATTTTAAATAATTTCGAAACTAAGTCAATAAACAACTTTATAGTACAACATTTCATATTATATTCCTTTTATTCTTTATTTCGAAAGGTAGCATAATGACATTCGGATCTATCAGTTATCAGTATCAATATCAAGCAAATTTATTGATAAACTAATAAATTGGTGTTAAATTTAATTTAAAAAGTCGCATTGCTATGGTAAAACTGTACCTACAGTACTTAAAATATAAACACACACCTTTAGAATACACACATATCACTTTACTAATATAATATGACGTTTTTAGGGGAATTTCATACGATAGTAAGTCTCGTAGATGTATGAGATGTAGGAATCTCCGATTTTTTAACAGTCACATTTTAGTATATTACGCTATTTAAATTTTCCTGGTTTAATTTTTGTAAATAGCAAATTGATACTATCTAGTTGAAAGGATTGGTGATACAACACTGATAGTGTTTTAAAATACCAAGGAAACTGTTGCCCTTTAGCGAAAGACACATGAAACATTTAAATATTGAATAGTTTCACATTTGTGGGATATATGTTGTGTAGATCAAAACACAGGGATTGATTAATGTTTTCCAAAAGTTGCATACTACAGTTTTTTTTGTTAACCATCACTATAAATATATCACATTTTGGAATGTTTCACTCTAATAGTTAAGGTCATAGGCCCATATCATGTCTAATATTTTCATCAATTTTAACAAACATGACACCACTACTATTACAAAATTATTCGAAAATTGGAAAGAAAACTTCAGAAATTTAAAATTGCCATGATTGTTAAAATCGTGCCATACGTTTATTCGCCTATAAGAATTATATTAATATGTTATTAATACAGATAGGAGTTTTTATACAACCAATATTTCTATTCTAAGTGAACAGACTGTGCTAACACCTACTGTTGTCGATATACTTTTTATTTTGAGCGACCCATTCATTGCTCTGCAACTGCAGAGTAAACTATACAAGAACCATACGACACCCTACTACTTTGTGCCGCTATATTGAATGTCAAATGGGAAATCTGAGGTAATAATTACGTTAATTTGTATTTAGATTAGTAGTTTTTCCAATGTCAATTGTAACTAAGAAACTAAGAAAGCTATGAAAGCAAAACTATTTGAAGTGGCAAATTTGACTACCTATTAACATTAAAACTGAAAATAAATTATAATTTAATTTTATGTGGGCCGATCCATTATATTTTTGGATTGCTGTTTATATGTATTACGATAGAAATATTTTATTTGTAGAATGTGGAACCAAACGTCTATATTTTAAAGAAATTGTGGTTTTACGATTTTCTTTCGAATATAATTACTTTTGCTTCAGAATTATACGCTAAGCTTTTCGGATTAAAGTTTGTCCCTGATTTTAATTAAAATATCAAGCGGATTTGGATACAAAAAGTATCTCAAACTAGACCCAAATAATAAGTTTGCTAATCCGGCACGGTGATTAAATTGTTAGAGAATTATAAAAAACATTGAATTCAATTAGTTTTGTTTTCTGCACTGAAAAATATTAGCACATAAATAGTTATTAGTTGAATTAATTATTTAATTAATAAAGCTGTATAATTTTATCCGTGTAGCTTTATCACTGTAACGTGATTACACGGGAAGTAAAAGATGTTAATACTTTTATGTTGCTTGATAAAAATTATATTACCCCATATCTTCCTTCTACCCTGCCGTTAATTTACCGTTCTTATGATTATTTACATAATGATTATTTATTATAATTTTACGTTACCTATGTTGAATCAGGAAAAGTAATTAATTTTGGCACTGCATTTTCACTTGTGACAAAAATAATTAATTTGTCGTGAACGAAAAAACTGCATTTCATAGAAATACAATGTTCGGAAGTTTTTTTACTGGTCTAACAAATACAGTCATATAATGTGCACATTCACCAGACACGGACGATGAAATTACAAATACAATGTAATGTATAAATGTTTTTTTTAGGTTAGTAAGTAAGCAATTAATTACCTGTTGCCGAATTTTTTTTTTAAGTTGGTCGAAAGAAAAGATATTCTAAAATAAAATTAGCAATAAGTTAGGTCGAAAAACAAACTATTTCTCAATGGGGGAAATATAAATCACTAGATTATTCCACTTTTATTCGAGACAGTGAACATAATTTAAGTTCGGTGGTTTTAACTTTAAAAAACCGCTGCCTGCTCCAACTAGTAATAAATAGTGCGTTTAAAGGTACCGGTGGTTCTCAGGGTACTATTTTGGAATAAATGCTGATAATTTTCTTGTTTCCAATTATATTAATGCGGCAACTAATTTACGTCATGTTTGCTATAAATTAAAAAAATATATAGCATTTTTGAAAATGTCTATTTACTTGAGATGAGAAGCTGTCTCGGCGTTGTGTCCTGATGAATGTACAATTATTTACACGGTACCAATTATTAGAAGCTAGACAATTTATATGAAAAAATGCTGTGTCAAATGTATTTTTGAGTAATGTGGAAGTTGACAATAAAATTGCTGTATCTGCCTTTTGATGCCTTTAGAGCACTTCGAGATGACAATTACTAAGAATCAAAGACTAAAACAGGAATATAAGTTTTGCGAAGAACAATTAATTGAGATGTTTTTCATCTTCTTGAATACGATATCCATTCATTATTTGAAGGAAGAAGCACCAAACCTTGTATTTCCACATTGGGTTAAAATATCTTATTGCAAATGATTGGGGTAGAATATTGAAAATTTGAGCAAGATTAAACAACCGAGCGATTATTGCTTAGACCTGCCGTCCAAAATCAGCAACAGACATTGTACAATAACCCTGTTGGTTAACAATTCAGAATTACGCAACTTTTAAAAATAGCATTTACACCACACTGGGACTGTTGGAGTAAGCCTAAGAAATTTGAGGGACAATTAGGAAGTTTAGGACTCCTCTGCTTCCTCTCTAAAAAGGTACGTGGACCAATAAATAACGTTGAATAATGCAAAAACCAAAGGAAATGTTATTCTGGAAATGACATCAATACGTTTAGACCTAGTCGGGAATTTAGATAACCAAGACCGACAACAGTTTGGTCTTGGTTGCATATGAACCTCACAATGAGCTTTCTCTAATCTCATGGAGTCACCCGGTCCGCGTACTAAAGGTTTCTGAAGCAAAGGAGAAGGATTGTTAGCATCTATGTGATTGTGCAGAGATCGGTTTCTTACCATTGCAAAAGTGGCATTACTATCAGTATCAATCATATCAGAAGCACCGTCTAATGATTGTGCGTGTTCTAATTCAACTTGTCTGCGCTGTTTCTTCATATTTTCGCGATGCATATCTGAACGTGACGCATAGTTAACCAGCGCAAACTCCAACAGTGCGCCAAACACGAATGTTAAACATACTCCGGTCCATACATCGATTGCCTTAGTGTAAGACACTGGCGGTAAAGACGCATTGATACCTGATGTCTGCGTTGCCATTGTCAGCAAAGTAGTTACTCCTATAAAGTGATATATATTTTTATCTATACTGTAAAGCAAAAATATATAACCTGGAAATTTTTATTTGGTGTTCACATTTTCGGAAGTATGCATATTGATCTAGTCTATGACTCGATAACGAAACTAGCAGCTGAAGCCGAAGTATTCAAATCATGGCTTCCAGATATACTAGAAATCTGTATTTCGATATCCACTTAATAATTTATATTCTGAAATTTATTTATTGAGTAGTTTTATTTGGAGCCAATAAAAGTATAATTGGAATTTGTCTGATTGGGTTGGAGATCCAATCTGATTCACAGAGATCACATATTCGTTACACAATAATTCAAAATTATTAGCATTCCTATGGAGGTATTTTTTCCTATGGCGGAAATTACATTTTACATTTCAATATTTAATTTAATAGTAAATTGGTCCCAATGTTAAGAAAATCAAAAAAGTGATAAATTTTGTATAATTGATTGCGTTCCAGGATATATGAAACGAATTATTTTGTCTGTTTTCCCGTTAGGGATATATTACTCAGAACTCAGTATTCCGTTCAGTAGAATGCGTCTTTTGCACTCAAAACGGTTAAACGCACTTCAATTGCATTAATTTTAATATTATATAGTTTTTCGGTTTATCGTAGGCAATCACATATGTGAAATTTTTCGAAATCTTTCCAAAGAACGACCGGCCTAAAAATCCATTCACCAATTGTTCGTCCAAATTCGTACGAATGATTACGGATTTAGTGGACGAGCTTAGTACGTTGCAATAAAATGGGATCATTAGACTTTTTTGCACGATCTCTGACGAAAGCAGTTCGGACGAAAACGCGTCCAAAGCTAAGTGGTTGCGTTTAAGTTGTGGGTTAAAGCTTGGTTTGGAAAGTTAAAGATCGGATTTTCAAAAATGAAAATAAACAACAACTATCAGTTTGACCCTGTACAAAGGCAAATTCAAGCAAAATTGACAAAATGAATATTGGTTAGCAACTGAGATAAAACATTTCCTCAATAGTAGATACGAAAAAGTTATCAAAATCGGTTGAACCCAAAAAAAACAGAGTGTTAAACTCTTCATCCTTATCATCCTGTATACTTCACATGAGACAATTTTTTTTAATAATGTTCTATTTTAATGTTTTAGAAACTTCTAAAGTGCACTGAATGAATGTTTGCCATTGTAAGCCAAAGCTGAGACTTCAAAGATGAGAGGTACAGTAACGCAATAAAACTATGTCTTCACATCTCACATATAGCTGAAGTTGATTGTATTAATATATTATAATTAAACTTTCAGAAAGTTTCCTAAATTAGTGGTAAAACAACTGTTGAAACAAACCTATTCGTACGAAAACAAACACTTCTGTTCAGATCTTCACATAATTTGAGATGATAATTAAAATTTAACTGAATAACAAGTTTTGTGGAAATATCCCTTGCCATAACTTGGTAACACACACCGCCAACGCTTCTATTGACATATCTTTGAGAAATTGAGACAACCTTTAGAGCGAGTTATTATGAAATGCGGTTCCAACTCCTCTCATGCTGCAGAACCGTAACTTAATTATAAGTTATGTATATAAAGGAGAGCTCGAGCGATACGATCGTATTATCAAAAACTGTATTTAATCGAACTGGAAGTTTGGCTGGTTTGGCGTGCATGGAAATGTGCACTTTGTTATTTGATAAATAACACATTGATATGTTAATTAAATTTGCCCGCTCCATTCGTTTCAATTCGCTTGTGTGCGAGATACTCACGTTAATATTTAGATCAATGGTCATAGAAGCAATCTGATTATTAAGTAGTCATTGTGCCTTTATGAAACATTTATGCCGAACATTCAAAACTATTTATCTGTTATCAAATGTAACCCCGCAACTACAAGCAAATAACCCAAATAACCTCATTTCTCCGACTTCCAAAATATAAACCCCTAATTTTAAATGTCGTTTAAACTTAATTCAAAACTATTATCCGAAGCATTTGAAAGGAAATCCTCAATGCAAATTCAGGAAAATAAATATTTTCTTAGCCTTTCTGTGTAGCTGAACAAAATGTGCGTGTGGGGGTACACACGTTGGCTAATCTATAATTTGATTTCCTCGCCATTATTAACTAGATCGACTTTCCATTGGGTTGTATTACATGTGCAAATTATAAATTATCTCTCAATGGGATGATTGAATGATTCTTATATTTTAACGAATCATGTACGTATATAATTATTTTTTAACGAACATTTAGAAAAAAAATAATTTTCTCTAATTCAATTAAGTTGAATGATGCAGCGCGTCGTTTTCGTAGGCGTCCCAAGCAAAGCTCTCATAATTAAGCTATGGTAACCAACCATTAATTAATTGGCTGGCTTTCTATTTTATGCACTACTTTACTACCATTTTGTATAGAGTCGTCTGGTGTCATAATTATAAAAAATTGAAATTTAATCAAGCAAGAAGAAAGGGAAAAATAATGGTGTGCTAGAAGAATTGTCAGCCATTCCATTGATTCTAGATTGATGGAACTATTCAAGTGAAGTATTTTAGTGTCAGGGCGGGATAGGTTTTCAATAGTTTCATCACTCTCTAAGTGATGAATGGAAAAGACGAACGATTGGATTGACAAAATTCTTGAACCATTTAAAATCCGCCCGCTTTACCCTAAAATAAATTATACGAGAGCTGGTTATAGAATCGAAATATACCCACCTCTAACTAAATGTTCCAGAGTTTCTTTGCAAACCGATTCTTCCGATTCCGAAAGAAGGCAATGAAAGTCCGAACCGATTTGTCACTTTGGAACAAGATTTATTTTAGTGGATCAAATGATCTAAATAGCCGTTACTGGTCGAATCGAATTTCATCAATTATTAGTGAAGGTTATATCAAATAAAGTGGTAGGAAAAGTTTAGCACAAACCAGAAATATTGCTGGAAATAAATCTGAACATTCGAACCGTCTAGTCGGATTATTATCATTATTAAGTGATTGGAATTAATGAGTAACCAATTTTGTGTCAAACAACAACGTCTTTATTACGTAGTTTTTTGTAATTTTCAATGCGCTTCAGCCAAAAGGACGGTTTCAATTTAATAAAATAGACGTAAATTTAATATATGTAGTCTAAATATATCACAATTATACCGACTAACTTTTCTCATTTAATTTATGCGCTGCCTCGCATTCTTGTGTGTTAATCTCGTGTTATTATGACTTCTGAGTTGGAAGTAATATAAAAATAATTTAGCGTCTCAATTATTTTTAATATAAAGCATACCAGCAAATATGCTTTTTGAAGTTTATTAACGGCCTACTCACTGTCGCCCTAAATGGAAAATATGAGTGGTTGTGAAAGAAATAATCAACATTTTTTATTTGGCTGACGACGAACTAAATACTGAAGATACAGAAAAACTCACATGCACTACATCAATTGAATCCTTATGGCTGTAATTGGTCGAAAAAAATGGAATTAAATGACGTCAGACTCACCCAAAGATACCCTTGCTGGTACAGCTCCTTGATCCAACCAGAATGAAACCCAGGATACGATTACCAACATGCAGCAAGGAATGTAAATCTGGATAAGGTAGTAGCTGAATTCTCTCTTGAAAAGTAGATCCACTTTCAGACAACTGTACTCGCCTGGAATTAGATTTAAAAAACGATCTTAACGGTGAGCAGAGCTCTTAGGTCTTAGGTCTGTTTTTATTTCTTGGCCTGAGCTAGTCAAATTTACAAAAGAGCCAAGCGTTTTAAGCTTCGATGTTTAACAGTAGTAGAAATCGTTTTTTTTATGAAACTTTTATTTTCTTGAAGCCCCAGGAAGACCATTTGGCCTACATTTTTGCACTTTTCCTCAATAATAGGATACATTCATAGACGAGTAGTTTGAATGAATAAACTAGCAGCTGGTGAATTTGTCGGGTTTTTATTCCGACGTGAAAAAGAATTTGCTTCTGAAGTTTCGCTAGCATGAGTAGCTTGTAACCTCAGAGGTGTGCTAACCACCGTAAAAAGGTCTTAAAAGCCCAGAACATTCTCACCAGTTTCAAGCAATTGCCACGAAAACCTGACTTTTTCATAAAATACCAATTATTTACCTGTATTTGTTTTGCTGTTGCAGTAGTCTGTCAGAAATTTCTCCAAAGTAAATCGAGGAAGGTGAAGATTCTTGACTACTTGAACTGGATCGCCGTCTTTCCATAGGAAGACTAAATCATCCGTAGTCCAGCCATCTGGAGTGAACAAAAGTGTATTTTAAGTCCGCGACAAAAATCCGAAAATTTCCAATATTCCATTCAAATAGGAAAAATATTAATTAAAAAATGTCTACATAACTTATTGAATAAATTTTGAGTACTTACAACTGGCCATTCGAAGTGAACAAATCTGCCTATCTAGAGGATATAACTTCAAGTTCATGGGACATGATAGTGTGAGCGATATCCTGAAAAAACTTCTATTAGTAGCAAAAAATCCAATTATGAATGCTGCTTTGCGATAAAAATTGAGCCATGAAGCGGTCGTGAAAAGTTGAAATAAGCAAGGATAATTAATGGTAAAAGTAATGTGCTCTAGAAAAAAATCATAAATTAATGATCACGGAAATATTCAGCGTGAAATTGGCCTATTCAACGATTATACGCGTTAATGCCTTAATTTACATCGAAAAATATGTCTTACCTAATACTGTACAATACTGATCCGTAAGGGAAAATTCTGATATAGACATTAGGCATAATAATGTTATGCGTATGGCCTTCCTTCTCGTTGGAGAAGAAAAGATCCGGCATCCATACCCTGTTTGCTTCAGTAAGTGTTAAGTACTTTAACTTTCCATGAAAGTCATTAAATTTTAGCCGTTCATCCATCCACTGTTCCCGAAAAGTTAGTTGTACTGAATATTCCTAGAAACAGTTAAGGATTAAAACTAAGGCCTGTCAACTAACCAGCATTTACTCCTTTTAAATGTTCAATAGAAAACCCACTGCTTTTTGAACTGCGAATTACATCAGTAGATTTCTGAAAATTCTTAGTTTGATTCTACCAGTAGTGTGATTTTTTTTCTTTATAATAGAACAAAATCTGCTGCAAATGTGGTATCTGATTGGAAAATGAAAACAGTTCGTTGCCTGTATGAATCTTTAGAAACCATTAGTATAAACCGAATTATAGCTTTTAAACTTTAGAGGCAAATATTTCCATCAAACATTTTCAAGCAGTGGCAAGTACTTTTGAATCAATTACTTTGATCTTCAACCCTGAATCAAAGCAAGAGGAATAGAGACCTTTAAGTCACGCTGTTGGTTTTATTTATATAATGAGACACCGTCGCGTAAATCACCATTCATGTACAAAATAAACCCAATTATTAATTGAGTGGAATTTACAGCTAAATATGTACAGACGAGACACTATCACGTTAATTTTCTACTATTAATAATTATATCTCAAGCTTAAAGGGGAGCTATAATTATAGTCTGAGTATTTCTAAACATAGATTGTATTTTGCTAGACATCTGATAGACGGAGAGATTTTAAACTGGGATTTTCCGGGAATTAATCCCTATCAATTTTACCGCATTTATTTGGATTACAATGGCAGCTGGAGTATGTAGTTTACATTCCCAGGTGACTGTTTTTGTTTTAAAAAAATTATTCGAATTGACCAACACACACCGACTGCTAACAATTTGTTCAAAACCGGTGGAATTTCTTCTCATAATTGCTAAAATTTACATTGTTATTACAATTATATTATGAGAGATGTGATGATTAATTCACAACACTTAAACCCTTTATGTCCGTATTTCAAATATTCTGCCATAATTCCTGACTTGTTGAAAGAATGCGAAATATTTGTGGCTTTAAGAAGTAGTCAAGTCAAGGTTAATTAAAAGTTTTCCTGAGTAGGCTGGGAAACAACTTTTCAGACTTTAACTTAATTTAAAGTTACTGCTGCAGCAACAACATTTTTCCATAAACACCTTTTATCTTATTTTTCAACCAAAACTAAATCGAAATATCGTAATGTTTATTTACTTTCCGCTACTTCCTGGTGTGAAACTTATAACAGCAGGAATATAATTAATATAGAAAAGTAACATCCGTTTGACAAATTACTATTCCTTTTAGCGTATTCATAGAAAAGTTCTTATTCAAATCTCAAATCGTCTTTCCAGATTTTCAATATTATGAAATTATGGCCGGATTCGTGCTGAATAGATGGTATTCACAAAATGTTTGTGTCCAATAAATACGGTTTGAAAGAGCAGAAACATGTATAGAATTTATTCGAATGGTTGAAATATTCTTTCATGCTTTTCTGTTAGCTGTGAGACTATGAATGCAACTGATTCTTGTAGTGGGCTTCCCATAATGGACCATACGGCAAAACTAGATTCTTTATATAGATACAAATGTGACAATTTAACCGACATTTGCTTTGTAGAAAAATTTAAACTGGCAAAAAATAAACCACATCTCAATTGAAATAACATTTTTATATATGTTGTCTTAATATTTCGAAGGTTGCTTAAAATACTCAGACTTCATTTTAGCTAATTTAAGAAGATATTCAGTTAACGATGGATGAGTGCACTTACGATCGTCGACTTAGTGGACGGTCTATGAAAGTCACAGTTAAAATGTTGAACTTTTCAGTAAAAAAAAACTAAATGTTAGTATTGAGTGGCTGCTGGGATGGGGGTGTTTTTCAAACCAATAAATATTTGTGCTAAGTTCTGTTAAGAGAAGCTTTAAAAAATTTCTGGTTAAGGAAGTAAACATTTAACTAATTTAAATTCAAGGTAAAAATACTACTTAAATCAATTCCTTCTGTGAAGAAGTTGAATAACTTCCTATCCAGGCGATTAGAAATAACCCCTCAAGTCAATCGAGAAGTAATTTATAGTTGAAATTGAGTAATCACTCGGTGTCTCGTCTGTATCATAACATTTCAGAATCCTGATTGTACAATTGCAGTATTTTGTACCAGAATCGAACGAAAAATATAAGCGTAGGTGTTCTTATTATAGTCGAGTTCACAATTATATGATGTAGACTTATAGCGTTTCAAATATTAATAGGTAATTGAGAACCCACTTGAATTCGAATGGAAAACTCGTATTTAAAGAAATATTTTCTTCTGCGTCATATTCTTCTGTTCAATGTTGAGATCAAAGCGTACATATGGATGTATAGAAGGAATATCATGCGACATGCTTTTACATAACCAATGAGCGAAATGAAAAAAAATCAGTTAAAAAGCACCAAACTCATAGTTTACCAATGCCTTTGATCAACAAATTTGAATTGCAATAGTATGAATTTTAAAATTCTTGAAACTTAAATTATTTTGATTAAAATACAGCATATAAAACGCAGCTTGTCAACAATATTCTGAATTTTTTACTACATTTTTAGCGATATATAAATGATTCATAAGCAAGGTACTGCAATAACTACAATTGATGAAATTAAATAGTTAGCAGTCAGAATCATCAAATAACTCCAATATACTGAAGCTTTGCATGTCAAGATCATATTTTTGTCATACTTACTCAACAACCAAAAAAATTGGTAGGTCATGATATGTAGGTTGAAAATATTTTATTAATATAATGTTCGTGCCTATTTTATCGAGAGTTACTTAACAGACTTTTTTTCCTGGTTCAATAGGAAAATTACATAAAAAGTAAACTAGCATCATTAATCTGGCCACTATAAGGTGTCACTTGAGCGTTAACAATTTCAAAATATCCTTTCCAATTCTATGAACAATCAGAAGGTTGCTCAATTTGTAGCAAAATAACCCTCGAAATTTTATTATTCAACAGTCAGCTCATTATTATTTATAAAGATTCCATTACGGGCGCACTTTAAAATTAATATGCATTACATATTTAAATAACGAAATTTCCTATATACATATTATTAGATTCGTTATCGTACAAAGGGCATAGTGTTTATTTGGTATAATAAAATATTTAATAAATAACATTTATAAATGACCTTACGGAACCGTCCATAACGATATAGAATTTTAAATATATCGGACAATTTCAAGTTTAACGCGAATCGGAACAGAATTATAAAAATGTTGATCAATTTATATTTATCTGCAGTATTAAGGGCTCAATTGACAATGTTTGTTCGATAAAGCACGTTCGTTTATTTATTATTATTATTTTCCGTTTGAATATTTAATTTAAAAACGTCGACTGTATTTACTATCGAAAAATATTAACTGTTGATTAAATAACGTTGAGTTGGAAGACCCATCATCAAAATGAATGTGATTAACTTTGTAAATTCTGGAAAAGCACTGCGTATAAGTTGAAGTTATTTAATATACGTTTTGTATCACATTGTAAAAGAGGATGAGCACCAATAAACTAAAACGAACAATCTAAAAAGCAAACGGTGACATTACAAGGTTTTAAGAAAATTTATTGGGTGTCTATTGAGATACCATTAAACAAATTGAAGTCGTTTTTAGTATTAAAGTAGTAACTCACCAATTCCGCTGGAATTAGCATTTATTACTAAAAGGAATGTTAAAACCAAAACATGAAATATCAGAAAACATTCATTATATTCTGGTAAATATTTAGTTATAAAACAGGCAATTAATATTTCGCTACATTCAATTGCAAAGTAAAATGTTATTTTCTCAGTATTCGTGATGGAGTATCAAATAATCTTCCGATTATATTTAAGCCCAAAGGATCGCTCTCTAGTTAACCCTAACCAATATTTAAAAATTTACTTTGCCCTTATTGCATTTTCATCTTACTCTACTTACGTTCTGAACAGCTGAAAAAATATATTTTTAATTTTAATTATAGAATGTGGACTCATAAAGATATACGAGATTAACAACGTTCTGTAACAAAATTTTCCTGAAATAGGTCAGTTTTTGAATAAATAATGTAAGGGGATTAAAATAATAGAATATAATTCAGTAATAATAACCAAGTTTTGAAATTCGGCTGAATTATAGATTATTTACATATACATTTGTAGTTATAAATGGGTAGTGCTTTAAAGGATGTAAATTCACCGGGGTGAATTAAATCAAGAAAATAAATGCAATATCTTACTGGTATAAAGCAAACCCAACCATTATAATATTTGGTTCATTAGCTGTGAGCATTTAAGCCTTAAACTGGCTGAATGTTTTTTTTTATTAGACGACTGTAGTGATTGTTTTTGCATGTTTTCGAGTCTTTTTGAATAAAACAAAAATTCGAAACCAAATCTAACTTACTGTGTCATTTTTATTTAAAAAACGAGCCAATTTATTTTAAATAAGTACACTTAATATTTGTAATAAAACAAATATTATATCGATAAGGTTGAAAGTTAAATAACTGTAATACTTAGTATGCCAATGTTAGTGCGCTATAAAATCAATTGAAATATATTCCGTTCATATTGGCTGATGTCTAGTATTGTAATGTGATTTATTTAGGAACTGTTCGGGTTCAATGTTTGCCAATCAAGAACATCAAAGTTCATGATATATTATTGAGCGAACCATAGACCTTTTTGTTTCTAAACTTTCCATGTTAGCTTAAATAAGTACTGAGCAAATAACCTTTCATTGGAGAAAATAAAGACTCGCAAGCCTTACTCTAAAACTTTGCTAACATCAATTAAATCGCATGTTTCTGAATTGCGGAAATTTAAAATTCGATTGTTTAATTTCGACATAAATTAAAACTTCCAAATTAAATTGTCCCGACAGTTTAATTCAAAGGAATAAACTTTAAATTAATTTGTGCATTCAAAATAATATTTCCTATCTCGAACTGAATTAAGTATATTTATAAAACACCTCTATTAAAATCAAACAAATCAACGTCTATACGATCCATTGTATATCATTAACGTGATTTATGTCTTAAATGTATTATGGAACAGGTAAGGCAATTATCCAAAATTGATGATATGCTATACAAAGAGCGTTCAGTGAGCTAATAAATGAACATATTTATTATTGAGAAACTATTTTTTGTGGGTAATTTATTTTCTATCTTTATAAATATTTCAAAACAGTACATTATTGAAATTAAACATAGCGCTGAAAAATAAAAGCCATATGTACAAGAGAAGAATTAACATTATCAGAAGGAACTACATAGACGATAATTTATAGGTGAACACAGATCATGCGGAGGAGCCCACATAATTACAACACAAAAACACATATCAGTAAGAAAGGCTGTTACAAGACAATCAACACAGCAAAGAGGCGATTGTAATAGTAGTACCAATTACCAGCACTTCAAAATTATAATACCTATATTTAGCCAAACTTATGATAATTTAATTTTAGCAAGCAAATTTGGAAGTGCTGCGAAAGTACCTTGTCTGAGTGGATGTGCTAGTATATACAGGGTGTTCCAACGAAAACTGAACCTGAAAATGCTTGGAATGATTCATCGATTTGTTCTACGTTTTGTTATAAAACCATCTCCATATTTTATTGCCTACCTTTACTATAACTATTTTAACAGTAATTTCCAAAACGTCCCCAATTTTTACAACTGTTACCCTTTAACTATATCTAAAATTTAAAAAATTGCATTTTTATGGTGTTTGCTCTGTTTCAAAATGTAATTCCATGTTTGAAGCTGAACTAAACTCTGATTGTTCTTATGTCTAACTATATGAAGCCAGTCGATTTTCTCGTCTTGAAGAAAAACTGACGTTTTTGTTGGGACAACCTAAGGGAAAGCATGCAAAAAACTAAACGTCAATAAGTTAAGTTAAGTATGCATTAGCGTGTTAAATCCGGCGCAGCACATGCTTGCGATGGTGCCTGGTGCCTTCACCATTCACCATTGTTCGGCCCTGTGCAGAAAATGCAAGATCCGAACACCACAGTACATCTTAAATAAAATACTTATTTACAGTCACATTGTTAATGTACAACCATCAAAACCACTTCAAAAGAGCAGATAAATATACCAGACGCGTTTCCACTTTTATAATGTCTATAATGCGTTTTCTCAGTGTAGTAAATATTTTCTGAAATGTTTAATTTTGCCTCATATTTTCGGTCTAATTTTATTCTTAGTAAATTTTGCGTGTTAGTGGAAAGTATACGGGAACGTTAATAGGCCATTAGTTGTGAAATATGGCTTTTAAGCAGTTTCTATTTCTGAATGGCGTAAACTGTAATATTAAGGTGTTTTGGATATTTCAGTGACAATTGCACAAATTCCAATGAGAATTTGTGAAAACATCCATTTTTTTGCCAAATTATTCATCATTTATCATAATTGCCATTGGGAACAACTGTCTGGAGGTGTAAAATTGATCTAACAGTCAAACCAAGCAGGAGATCTTGCCAAAAAGAACATATCCAAATTACAAACAGAACTTAAGAGCCAATAATCAATCTCGTAAATTCTACGTCTGGATCGTAATTCTTTTGCCTGTTCTAACCCACACTAACAACTTGGAACTTCGAGACATTAATTAAATTGGAAAAAGCGGATTTGCTATGAGAGGATAATATGGCTTTCAAACTGCACTCTTGAAAACCTCCGTTAAACATTAAGCAAACATTCATTTCTCACATTCATTTATTTTATACAGAATGCTACGAAACTTGCATCTTTAAGCAGCTTTTCACCGATGGCTGGAAGTAGGTATACATTACAGACATATTATGGGTATATACACAGGATACACAGAACAAATAGTCCAGGTTTCGTTGTTTAATGAGCTTATTTTTGGGCACAGTCAATTGATGTGAATTGTTATGCGTTTACAAGACATGGAGAATGAAAGATTTAATTTTTATGGTAGAATAATTTGCAACTAAAATAAGTTCAATCTTTTGGCGCCTGTAATAGAGGGAGACGGACACGCTCAAATAAATGGTTTCATGTTAGAGACGTAGCTTTGATTAACGACGCTAACCCGTGTTAGAATAGTATAATTTTCAAAAAGTTTTTCGAAAAAGTTCAAATAATTAACTGAACTCTTCTGTATGGAAAGTGATGGTTAAATTTGTACTTTCATTTAAAAATTGCAATGATTATGAACCAAAAATAGTTAACTGCAATAGTTTAAAGTAAAATGATGGTAGATGCAACTTGGTCTTTTTAAAATTTCATTGATTGATTTATTTCCAGAACAGAGATAATTTTCGTTTAGGTAATTAACCAAATTTTCTTAAAGATTTTCAAATATTTAATAAAAACTCATCTGTAAATTTAAGTTCGACCACAAAGTTTTCCAGAAAGAGTTACAGAGACTTGTTAAGGTAACGGCAATTTCTGGAATAGTTAATATAATGTATTCTAGTAACATAAAAAGTAATAAAATTTGCTTAGGGTATTCAATTTCAAATTAACATAATATGAAGGGAGCTTCTTAATATCTGGGACGATTTTCTAAAAAGTATGCAGTAAAAAAGGCAATATGTTTGGTCAAAAAATAACTCCATTATCGCTTTTGTCCTAAAGCTCCTGATCCATCGCGGTTCGCACTTAAACTTTGGAAAACTGGCTACGCTTGAAATGTTTTTCAAATTTAGTCAGTAACAATCTCCGGCTGATCTTAAAATGAAATAATTTTGCTTACTTAAAAAGTTTTGCGAAACAGAAAGAAATATTTTGCAAGCTGGTTTGCATTGAAACACATATTGATGTTTCAAAATATAAAAAACAATAATTTGTCTGCTACTGTAAACTTTTAAATGAAAGCATGTTAAATTGAATTAAAGTTAATCCAGGAATTGACCTCTCTTTTAGACACCCTCGAATTCGGTTAGTATTGATCGAATTCACCACTCCGGGTGTTTATGCAGACAAAATTTTACTTAATAAGTGTTAACTGATTCAATCTTTTCAATTACAACGGGAATTTAAATAAAGCTTTCAGTGAAGTATGCAATGTTTGTGTTTTATTAAAACGTGCATATTAATGGTTCGCACGAGAACTGAAACGAATTAAATTACAATTTGTGAATTTAACATGCATCGGTAAAGTTGCAGCGACATACCAGTTATTATTTTAATTAAAATATATAAAGCAATCTGCCGTAGGCATTTAGCAACTGTGATAGTGTGCAACGCGTGTAGATCGACTCCAATGAACCTACTACCCACTTCTATCTATCTCAGCTACATCTTCTCATCAAACGTATGATTCATCAGATCTGATGGTGTGAGCCTCTTTAATCTTCTTGGGTGTCCTGTGTGGTTAAAGGCTTGTCTGGCCAGTGGGTTAGGATGAACTAGCATTCGAATTCGAATACCAGTTATTAAGAGTAATTTTGTTTTAAACCCCTTTTAAATACTAAAATGTAATTGCGAGAACGATGAATTAATTCCATGTACTCAATTTTAAAATTTAATTTGGTGTGAGGATCTAAAGCAGTTTGTGACTAAATAATTTGTATAGCCTCAGTTATAATTGGTATAAATATAAGCTTTAAGTAAATATATATTTTTCTGAGTCGGCTAGATTAGCTGTAAGGTGCAGAGACAAATGTTGGTTGTAATTGAAGCTGCGTTCCTGTTACGAAGTAAAGACTTGGAACTATCTAACTTTGAGAACAAAACAACACTAACGAAACATTGATTTATACAGAAATTGTTGCATATGTGCTTTGCAAAATACATATAGATAATTGTATTTTAAGTGTGGGCGTTATATACAAAGCCGAATGTCCAATTGGTATACTTATCTGCTCTTTGATCATCAATACTTGATATGACTGGCAGACCGCGAACTCACCATTTTATAATCGTCAATTTTGCTGATAGACCGCAAGAAGATGTTGATGCGTACGACTGTCGGACCATCTCCTTCAACTGGGTTCGAAAACAAAATATTCCGATTACTGTTAATTCTTAGTCCAGTTAATAGACAAAAAATTATAGAAAATATCACAAAAAGTCTAAGGAACTAACAAACTGAAAAAATAATCATTTGTCACTCGAGTGCATAATAACTTAGCAGCCCCCAGTTGTTGCAATGTCGGTGTCTGCCAGCTGCATTAACTTTAATTATTTACTTCTTTCCAAATCCATAACAAAGACTATCAGAATGAATTAACTACCCAGATTGCAATGTTGTCAGCATACATTGCAATTGTAACTGATGATGAGCACACATTAAGACTACGATGATTATGATGAATGGGTTAAGGGAAGTGTGTAGAATAATGCATGGTGCGAATGAATAAGTGTCTCAGCTATGGATTTAAATCTCTCATATCATATCACTTCTTATGTCTAGACCCATTAACAGATTCTGATTGTTTTTTTTTTGTGATTTTTTCCTAAAGTGGTCTATTGAATGGACTAAAATAGTCACAGTCGATGATGTAGGGCTACGGCCGTGCCAATCACATCTCGTTATGCAAGCGTGGCTAGGCCTGGTGATTACGTCCATTCACGCAGCCCTTAATTAATGTCTTCAGTATTCCTAGCAATTCAACACCAACAGCTTTAAATCGCAATTTTCGCTCAAAATTGGCTACCAATTCAGCAAAACTTTTCTGAAAAATCTCAGACCAAGAACAATGCGCTATTCGAAAATTATAGTGATTTCCCACTGAAAACAGTCAAGTCTTTTGCGATCAAGTTCATGTGAATGATCATGGAAAGAGGTTTTAATTCAGAGAAATCGAACCCCATCGCCATTTCATAATTATCACGTGCTCCTTTATCGGCATTTATTAGAGTCTCCTTCCTCTCGATACGAACTGAAAAGGTTGCGACTGATGAAACCTATTTTAAAACATGACCTGTTCTCTGGAACGACACTGAATTTAGAAACTCCAGCATTGCAGCATCCGATACGGCTTTTTAAAACGGCAAAAGGTACAGGGTGATTTATAATAACGTGCCCAAAATTTAAAAATACAATTTACAATTTGTTAAGTACGTCCTGAAATTGTATGTTTCATGTGGCTTCTTAATTGAAAATAATGTGGATTCAAATCAAGAGAGCTTTGTAGTCAAAGCATGAACACGACTCGAAAATATCGAAACTCGAACATATAAGCAACAATCCCTAACACTTTCAAAATGACAAAAATTCTGAAATGCTGGTCATTGAAAAATAATAGAAATCAAACGTTTTGACACACTTGGAAAGTGTTTTCATTTTTATCGTTCTGTCACAGAAGAAATTATTTTGGAAATAGAAGGTCGAAAAAAAAAACTTTACGCAAAAAAACTAAATGTTTTAAACTATTTTTTTACATGTTTACGCATTGTCATTATTATGGTTTTTACAATTTCGTTGACTAAAATTAGATATTTATTAAATTTTAAATAAATATTTAAATTTATTATATTTATTAAATTTATAACAATTTTCGAAGCTGAAAATTGAATACTAGAAAGTTAGAAAAACCATATTATTATCATTAAGTTTCGGTCCTGTTTCTACTAGTTTGGGAACCTACTCTTTAGCTGATGTAGAAAACATCGCGGTGAATAATTATGAAAAATCGGTATCCTTTTATCCAATCTTATGACTTATGACTATCTTATTAACTATATGCCCTATATTCTCCACCTAAAAGCCAATTCGAAAGTACTTAAATATTGCATGTGACGCGGAATTCAGGAAACACAAATCCCATATACAACACATTGTGCACCGAATACTAACGAGATACGCTACGCTATTCCATTAAAATGACACTTTGCTTGGATTTTAAATTCGTAGTCGACGACTGCCCCAAATTGATCTTCGTAGCATCGGGTTTTAAAAATAGTTCATTGTCAAGAGTCTTTGGGGAAACTGTTTGAATCACTGGTAACATTCACCTAGATTTGATACTTTCACTTGTAAGCTGTGGAAGAATGATTTGGTCAAAGAAGGCGATATGATAATTTTTTCAGGAAAGTAAGGAAGCGGCTTGATCACACAGACCTTAGACAAACACAGAAAGCATTCTAAATTTTGCAAATTAAACTAAAACATTTAATTGCTTTTTGGTGTGTGTACGGAATTTTTAGGACTTAAAAATGTTAAAATTTTTAGTAAATGTAAGTACGATTCTTACTTTTGAAACAGAAATGACTTCCTATATTCCTTCCTTTTAGCATTTTGAAGTAGGTGGGTTTTTTCAAGTTAAAATGATATAGAACATCAACAGTATCTTAAAACAAAATTTTAGAAATACATCTAACTGTCCGAGACGGTTTTCAGTAAACCACTTTCGAATATTTTCAGAAATGTCTATGCTACTTGAATTGAAAATAAAATGTGCTGAAAAATATTGAAGTTTTTTAAAATTGGAAATAAAAGCAAATCTGTGAATTGCATTTCTTGGTCTCATTCGTCTAATGGGTCTGAGATGACAAGCTTGAAAAGTGTAATTTAATATAATGTAATATTTTATGCAGCATGCTTTAGTTCTTTTCAAATAGCGAACATTCTCTCTAAGCTACAATTTCCATACAAACCAACTAATGTATGCATCTCTAACTTAATTTCTGATATAATTTTCTTCATTGTGCGGAACTTATTATAGCCGAGCTGTTCGGGTATTTTCACCATCCAATCTAATTCATGTTTATTCAAAGGTGAAAGAAATTTGAAACTCTAGTATAATTTGATGATACACAAAAAAATATTTGTGAATTTACAGTGAAAGGATTTACAAAAACCCGTTTGCAAAAATAATACCTTCACAACATTTCGAGTTAGATTAGCGAATCAAATTTACTACACCTACAGTTAATTTTGAGCTGAAAGTGAGAGAAATTAAATCCTCAGTTTATTAATTTTCAATATTAATAATATTAAATTTCAATACGTTTGTCAAGAACTGTCCATATTATGTTGTAAAGAGTTGGGCTTTTATCGCTTGAAACTTGAGTTTGCATGCTGACCTGAAAAATAATTTCTTCTTGACGTTTGGCAAGCACGAGCAGTTAGCATCCTCAGAGCCGTTTGCTTCGAACGTTTACACTTGCACTGCAGAATAAGCTTTCGAGCAATATATCACTGAAGATGCAAACCACTCGTGCTTGAAAATCACTTTCAGAAGAAAATAATTTTCGCCACGGCTTAAATTACGAAACCCTCACCACTTCCAAATTATGCCACCTATATGAACAGCTCTTTTGAATTGTTGAAGAAAAATTCAGCTTTGCGTGTTAATCAGTTTCCCAAAGCTCCTGCATCAAGTGATTAGGGGGGCAATTTATTTCTATGATTAACAGTGGTATTTTTTCAGCCATCAATCCTTTCTCAATGATGAAAAACTCAGTTTGGAAATTAGTGGATATACTATCCTGCACTCCTTAAGTTAGTAAATGTGTCCCTTTCAATTGACTACAAATTTTGCGTAAATATGAAAACGCGTTTAGAAAATCAAATGAATCGCTCAAAGCATAAAACTTAAATAGATAAAACAAAAATGTGCGTGAAGTACCTTTAAAATTACTTATGGAATATGAGAACAAACAAAAAATGATTGGCGTATTTCTGGATTTCTAAATGTAATTTTGGTAACAAATTAACGTTTGCAAACGAGATAATATCTTTGATGCTAAAAGTTAAAATTCAATCTCAAAATTAGATCGCGCACATAATACCAGTCTTAAAGCAGCAGGTATTTAATAATGCATAATATTTCAACGAAAAAATAAACAGTTTTCTATAAACATCATTCAAAACAATAGAAATGTTTGCTCATTTGTCACATCCGAATCAAATATCTCCAAAGCAAATAGATTCGTACGTGATGAATGTTATTCATACGGAATTAACAATATTAATGTTCAACATCGAGGTGGAGGCTGAACATTGTGGGAGGTGTATGCAATACTTGACTGTATTCAGTAGGTAAAACCAATGGTAAAATAGATGTGTCGTCTTCGTTTGCAGTTTATCCCGACCAAAACTATCAAAGAGGCGCAGAGTATTAAGCAAGGACCTTCATGGTAATAGTATGCCTTAAGTGGTAACGAAAATGATTCACAACTGACTCTATACAAACATCCAGAATAAAGTTTGCCAGCCATTCGTGCCAGTCACAACTAACTAAGATAAATACAATAACTTCCAAATTGGTATGGCTTTTCAAATTTGAAGTACATGAAAGATACTTTGGTAAACAGCAATACATGACACTACCTCGTTAACATACCTTATATTATTACAAATTTACGTGAAGCCCAAATAACACATAAACTATGTTTAATATGTTTTCGCTTTTCTTAAACCTATTTCTAATCTACAATTAATGGTGTAGGCATGTAAAGTATTGTTTCATTTAGCAATCCCCTGTAAACAGAAGCAGCACTAGCACATCCAACTCAATTTCCAAAATAAATTGGAACTGACAGACAACACAAACAACTTTAAAGAGTAGCATTGTTGAATGCACTGGCCGGAATATGCAGGCAATATTCGCTTTTGCATTCACAGTTAATTTTAAGCACCTTGAGTTCAATCAATGAAGAATGCTTTATTATCCGCTAGTTTCGAGTTAGTCGTCAACTGACACGAATTTTATCATTAACAATTTTCATTATTTTTTGGCAATGCTGAATGACTGTAACAAATGCATTTTAAAATTAAGTCGAACTGAAATGATTTAATAGTTAGTATTTAGATCAGGCGTTACCAAAAATACGTAAAAGTAAGCAAATCAATGACTGAAATGCGCTAAGAATCAGTTGTGGAAGAAAATGCGTCATAACATGGCAAGAACCGGTAAAATGATCATCAGCATAGAATGAACTAGACTACCATCCACAACTACACAATTAGAGATAGTCAGTCCCATTTTCTGGTCCCTTGGGCACTTACCATGGTAACGTCATCTATCTTTGAGATACTT